GCTACATTGTGTCAACGTACCACAATTTCTCAACCCATTGAGCTGTGGTTGGACATTTGGGCTGTTTCCCTGTGCTTGCGATGGTGAATAATGCTGCTATGAACATTGATGTACAAATCTCCATTTGTGTCTCAGTTCCAGTTTCCTTTGGATATATTTATAGGAGCAGAATACCTGGGTCCTACAAGGCTGACAAATACAGCCAGAAAAGCACAATCTGGAAAGGATAAAATTGATGAATGGGACCTTCTAGAGATTAAATCCTTATGGACATATTTTTTCCCAATAGGATGGGGGGAACCCTATCAACTGGGAAAAATATTTGGCAATATTATCTCAGACAAGAGTCTAGTAACAAAAGTTTACAGAATACTACAGTATCTCGACAAGAAAAAACTGATAACCCAATCACAAACTGGGTAAGAGGCATGGAAAGATGTTTCACAGAGGAAGATATTCAGATGGCCAACAGATACTTGGAAAAAATCATTCAAAATTACTGGCAATAAGAGAGATGCAAATCAAAACCACAAAGAGATAACGATCTTACCTCCCCAGTGGCCAAGTTTAGCAGGGTAGCAAGCAATAAATGTTGGAGAGAATGTGGCGAGAAAGGAACTCTTATACATTGTTGGTGGGATTGTAAAATGGTACAACCACTCTGGAAGGCAGTTTGGCATTTCCTCAAAAAGCTGAACATAGAAACATCCAATTCTTTTATGTCACAGAACAATATTTTGCTGGAGAGGAGCAGGAAAGAGAGAGACTCCTTCCATGTTTTCTCTCTCTTTTTAAAAAAATGCCCCAAATCACCAAATGACAGTCTCTGGTTGATGTAGGAAAGATCTTGAGAATGAGCAGTTGGTGCTGGTGACAATAAGAGACTGTTGTTTGTTGTTGTTATGTGTCGTCGAGTCGCCTGCGACTCATAGCGACCCTATGTACAACAGCCCTAAACTCCACTCTGTCCTGTGCCAATCGCACTGTCTCTGACATTCCCATCCCAATTATCCCAGTCACTGAATCAATCCACCTCATAGAGGGCCTTCCTCTCCTGCGCCATCCCTCCACCCTCCCAAGCATGATGTCCCTCTCCAAGGACCGGTCTCTCCTCACTACATGTCCAAAGTAAGTTAGATGGAGCCTCAGAATCCTTGCCTCCAAGGAGCCACCCGGTTTAACCCTCTCTAGGACAAATCTATTTGTTTTCCTAGCAGTCCATGGTATTCTCAGTACTCTTCTCCAGCACCACAGCTCAAAGGCATCAGTTCTCCTTCTATCCTCCTTGGTCATTGTCCAACTCTCTGATGCATAACAGGTGATTGTGAAGACCATGGCCTGTATCAGACGCACCTTATGTATGAAAATAAGAGACTAGAACATGAAAAGAGAAAACTGAACTTGTAGTCAGAAGCCAGAGTTCAAGGGCTGGCTCTGCCACTTGTGGGGTCTTGCATCAGTCATTCAACTTCTTCACGTGTGTTCAAGTGTGAAAAAAAGGATGGTAGGAGCTATCTCTTATGGGGCAGTGAGGAACGATGAAGCAGGACAACTGAGAGCTCTTTGTAAACTTTAAATCCATTTTCAAGTGGAAAAATGAAAAGCATCGTGATTCTTTGAATCCATCATCTATCTCTGAGTTGATAAAGCAAATTGAGTCACCTGTCAGCATCTGTTATCTTATCATTCATACTTCATTTTTTTGAATCATGAAAGAAAAACGCGTTGCTTGGCATGGTAGAATGCCTGGCATGGAATGAGCGCACAATAAATTTTTTCCTGAATGATCAGGTAAAAATTACTCCAGACGGGCTCTTCTAGATCTCATGAGAGGCAAGGAGTAAGCCTATAAAGTAACTAAAAGCCTATTATAGGACAGTCACTTTACCCCACCTGTGCCTTATATTCGAGACTTCATTAGAACCACACCAAGTAAAAAAATAAAAAACAAAAACACATTAAGCATCCTTTTCTCTCCATTCCCTAGGAAAAGGTGGTCTTGCAAGTAAGTTAGGTATCTGAGATGTCATCCTCTTAGAAAATCACTCTTAATAAGGCCCCTCCTAGCCTGTACACTTCATTCTTCATGTTTTTCCTTCAAAAGCCAGGCCCAAGGTGGCTGCATGAAGGAAGAGTTTGAACATATCTCACCCTAAGGTTGGTTGTCTACAGAGATTGGTTGTCTACAGAAAACCAATCTCTTTTGAGAAAACTCAGAAACCACATATGGGAAATGCTCTACAATGAAGGAATGGCACAGGCCAGGATGGGTGTTGCCAAGGATGGTGGAGAAAAAAGTGATTTCCTGAATTACCAAAGACCGCCATGGAACTAAATATCTTTGGGAATCCAATGGTGATCGTAAACATGAAGTTTTCAAACCATTGTTTTCCAAAGAATTGTGTCTTCTTCAGTGATCTAAGGTGTTTACAATGCTGATGATACAGGTTGCCACAGGTCTGAAGTCATCATTAGTGTTGCTGTCATTTTTGTTTGGGAGCATCTCCATAGCAGCTCACACTCACCACTGCTCTGCAATCGTTCTTTAATAAGGTGGCTCACAAGATCCCCAGAGGCAGAAGAATGACTAGGAGTGGCATTTTTGTGCTGCCCAATGGGAAACAAAGGGAGACACAAATGTGGAGAGTCAGCAGCATCATTGGTCACAAAAGGTTCAAACAGAAAACATTCAAACTTCTGTCCCAAGCTGAGATTATCAACTTCCAAGATATAACGTATTTCTGTGGCTCTTTTTTGTAATTACTGCAATACTAAGTATATAACCATGAAGAACTGGACTGCTGAGGTGATAAACACAAGAATCTAAGATTTTAACATTTACCGTAGGTTTTATTGATCATGTAGGAGGGTCCATTTAAAGGTTTTGTTATTGTTTAAAGGTTATTGCTATTGTTGTTATATGCCATCGAAGACTCTGCAACTCATAGTGACCCTATGTACAACAGCTCTGAAGCCTATCCTGTGCTAAGTCAGTCTCACTGACTCCGACACACCTACCCCCATTGCCCCATTTACTGTATCAATCCATCTCATCTGGAATCTTCCTCTCCTGCATTGTCCCTCCACCCTTCTGAGCATGATGTCCAAGCACATATATTGTTGCTATTAAAAGTCATCTAGTTGAGTACGACTCATAGCAAGCTTATAAGCAGTAGATCTTAATCCTGTCCTATCCTGTGCCATCTTCACCATCTCTGATACACATGAGCCCATTGCTGCAGTCACCATATCAATTCATCTCTCTGAAAGTCTTCCTCTCTCTCTTTCACTCATCCTTTACTTTTTCAAGCATTATGTCCCTGTCCAAGGAATAACCTGTCCTAGCAATATGTCTAATGAATCTTTATCATCTTTGCCTCCTAGGAGCACTATGGCTGAACTTTTTCCAAAACATATTTGTTTGTTCTTTTGACAGTCCAAGGGATATATTCACTTTTCTCCAATGCCACAATTCAAAGGCATCAATTCTTCTTTCATCCTTATTCACCGTCCAGCTCTCAGATGCACAGCAAGTAATGGGGGGAAAAAACGTGGTCTCACGCACACCTTAGTATTCAAATTGACATTGCTCTTTGGTATTTTGGAGAGGTCTCTCGCCACGAACTTGCCCAAAGCAATACTTCTCCTTATCTTCTCACTGCTAGTACTAAGGGTGTTGACTGTGGATCTAAGTAAGATGAAGTCATTCACAGTTTCAATACTTTTTCATCTATCATGATGTTGCCTTTGGCCCAGTAGTAAGAAGCTTTGTTTTCTTTATGCTGAGATGTAACCCACATTGACACTTGTCATTGATGTTCTGCAGCAAGCATTTCATGTAGGGTTGGTTTAAATACAGACACACACACACGCAAGAACACACCAAAAAAACTTAGCTTCCTTTTTCTAAGACTGTATGTTTATAAATAGATACAAGAATGCATCCCAGAATCTCTACAAACAATTTGATATTATTATCAAACACAAACATGAGCTATGGTTTTTTAGCATCAGGTTGAATGTGCTGAAAGGCTCTTCACTGTAAATTCCCCAGTGACATCATCCTTGTCACGCCTACCTCTGAAAATTAAAAGGCAAAGCTGCGTGTCTTCAACCTAGTTCTCTTGAAAAGGAGGCATTGCATTGGAGCCCAAATCGGCAAAGGTATTGACTTATATTTCTTTCTATATCTTTTTTTGTTGTTTTACTCCTTGGCTGTTGTCTCTCCAACTGTCTTCTCCAAAACAGCACTGTCTTTCTTGCCCTTCTCTAGTCTGGTGTATGAACTAGAATCACAGGGGGAACGCAGTAAAAATCAACTGTTCTGGCAGGGAAGTATGCGTGGGAAGGATTGCTTCTTAGGAGGACATTAGAAGATACAGCCTCGCTTTCCTTGCAGTCAATTTTTCTAACAAAAAAAAAATACTAGAAAATAACTTGAAATGTCTAACTGTATTTCTCTAATATCTGTATAAGGCAAATATTTCATTCTGGTGTTGTTTAACCTATCCATGCTTTCACAGAATGCTTATTATACGCAGTGCAGTGGTTTGGGCATCCAAAGGATACCAAGATAAATAAAACAGATTTTTAAAAAAGCTAACAAAATAAAAACAAATTTTAAAAAAGTAGAGGCTCAGTGAAAGAGAAGACTCTCAAACAGATGGATTGACATGGTGACTTAGCAATGGGCTTATGTGTATCAGAGATGGTGAGGA